TTTGGCAAGAAAACACTGCTAAATTCAATATTTTCCCCTATGATTTCTTCTAAGAGTTTTACAGTTTTAGCTCTTATGTATAGGTCTTTGATCCATTTTGAGTTAGTTTTTATATATGGCATATAGTTAGGGTACATCTTCATTCTTTTGCATGGCAAATTGATTCATTTTTATTGGATCTCACAAAGCTATTATTAGGAGGTGCTATGGTCTAAATAGTTGTGTTCCCCCCCAAAATTCATATGCTGAAACCCTAACTCCGAAGATGATGATATTAGAAGGTGAGGCCTCTGGGAGGTGCTTACGTCATGAGTGGAGCCCTCATGAATGGGATGAGTGTTCTTATAAAAGAGATCCCAGAGAGCCCCCAGCCCCTTCCCCCATATGAGAACAGTGAGAAGGCGCGGGCTATGAACCAGCAGGGCCCTCACGAGACCCTGACCATGCTGGCGCCTTGATCTTGGACTTCTTAGTCTCCAGAACTATGAAAAATAAATGTTTGTTTATGAGTCCTGCAGTCTGTGGAAGTGAAAAACATGGTCTTTCTCCACAGATGGTTTGAGAAGCATACCTGCTCCCTCCTGCGTTAAGACTGCTCCAGGAACGCTCCCCCACGCCCAAGTATGGACAAGCACATTTATGACAAAACTTTTAAATGGGAAAATACTACACAGATGGTTTACAAACTTACTTTTCTTTATATATGGTGGATCTCTTTGAACATTAGTACACATAGATCTAACTCATACACTTCACTATCTGCTTGAACCATTATATGGTTATTTGTAAGGCTTTAAAAACTTGAGTCAAGGATACAGGTGTTCACTGTACTATTCTTTCAAATTTTGTATAGGTTGAAAATTTTTCAGAAGTTTATGAAACATGATTAAAGCATTCACTTGAAAGACAAAAAAGATTCCGTAGTATGTCTATGTTTCCTATGTTTGCTATTTATCATCACAAAGTATACAGTTGTTCATTATCTCAGAAGCCAGAACAGACTCGGTTTACCCGAGCTCATGCTTCTGACGTGACCAATTAAGCTTTTACAAAGCTTACAAGCTTTTCTCACGTTTTCTTAATAGTCTATCATTTCCCCAAGTCTCTTCTGGGAACCTGCTGTAAATCAAGCAACAGAGTAAAACTCATTTGAAGCTGCAGTTGATCCTGGGACTAGGATTTTGGGGTCTTTGCTACTTTTTGAAGTTCTTCAGACCTAAGTAAGATAATTTCATCAAAGCCAAAGTTCTTCCGGTGCCTACAAGACACCACGTGAGCTGCCCCTAAACCTCTCAGTCTGACTCTCCTGTTACCTTCCCCTCACTGACCAGCCTCCTTCCTGTTGTCCCGGACACACAAAGCTAGCACAGCTGTAGGGCCTTCTCTGTGCAAAGCGAAATACTCTTCTAACCCAGACATCTCTGAAGCTAAAGCCCCCACTTCCTACAAGGTTTTGCTCAAATGCCATCTAATCAATGAGGTCCACTCTGATTGCTCTATTTAGCAGGCAACCAGCTGCCCCATCCCTACCTGCCTTCCTGAGCTCTTTTTACCTCATTGGAATGAATGAATACATTTTCAAGTGATAGGTGAACACTGAAACATACAGAGCTGTGGATTTAGAAAGTCACTCAGAAAAAGACTATAAAGGAGCAGCTGGAAACAAATGAGAGGGGCCGCAGAGAGGGAGGGGCCGAAGGCAGGTCTCAAGCCTGGTCAACACAGGGCAGTGTGGCAGCGCAGGAAGACAATAAAGACACTGCTCAGTTTCACGACTGTCATCAATCTTCACAATGTCTTCTTTTCTCCAACTGTTCTTTTTTAGGCCTTCTCTTTTAATAGTTATAAGAATCTGGGTGACCTGGGACTGAAATACTTGACTCTTCCGACAGGCCACATAATTGAGAAGGTGTACGTATAACTTTTAATTATAATAGGTTCTCAGCACAATTTTTCATCTTGCTTTTACTACATTTAGTATTTGGCATGGATTCTCATTTTTTTTTATTGCCATGTATTTCAAATTCTGTATAAGTAGGATGCTAATGACCCTAGAGTAAGGCTTTTTTGCAAAGAGTATTTTAAAATCATAACACTTTCTAGTTTACAAAGTTCTTTTGTATCTATTTTCTCATTTAATCATCTTTCATATAAAAGAGATATCAACTTCCTTAGAATGTCTTGCTGCCCGACACATGATTTGGGGGTTCTAGGTAAACATGAGGGAAATGGAGTCCTTGCGAAACAGATTCCAGCACCCCTGCGATGGAGAGGATGGGCAGTGTTCTCAGTCAAAAGAATGTGGTGAGCGGGGCCGTCCCCTTTACTCAGATTCTATTTCCTATTGCACTTGCCCTCATCAGAGGCCAGAATAATTAAAGCCTCACATCGGGTAAGTTAGTGATTGTCCACAAATGAACAGAAACTCTAAACCTGCAGGGAAGTTGAAAGTAGCAGATATAAATATTAAAGAAGAGATACCCCACTCGCACCCTGTCCCCTTCAGCACGTGAAATGGCAGCTGCTGCACTTGATCAAGCCCAAGGTCAAACCTAAAATCCTCGTGTAGTCCTTAGACAGCCCTCCCCCAAGGAACCTGGTGATCACCCGATCTGTGTTCCCCCATCCCACTCACCCCTGAGCTGACTACAAAAGCCCACGATCTACCAGAGCATTCCGCCCCCGCCAGTCTCTAAAAGCTGTGCTGTACATGGACTATTTACTTGGCATCAAGTCCACCAAGTCATCCATTCTGGGCTTTTGGGATTGGGGCACCTAGCTCTCCTGACTGCCCACATCACTTATTCCGGATCCAATTTCCCTCCTTCAAGATGCACCTACCCTCAGTCATTACAGTACAGATTCTGTTATGAAATTAGTATTTGAATAACCTTTCCAGAGATGATCTCACTGCCCTACAAACAACTGAGGGATTTGGAGCCCTTTATTCCTTATAGCATATGAAACAAACAAGCCTTCAGGCACTCCTGCAATGAAGAGAGCAGGTCAAACATCATACCCATGTGGTGATCACAGAAGTTCTCTGTGAAGTAAGAGCTGTGGTGGGAGAATGCACCAGCATTCAAACAGCCAGGGAAGAGCAATCAAGGTGGAAAGAACCATGTGTGCAGGGCCCAGAGGCAAGAAGGGGCTTGGCACATGCGGAATAGACAGGAAACTGTGAAAAAGAACAGTAAGCAAGGAGCAAGCCGGGTGAGAGGTTAGGAAGGTGGACTCAGATTCGCAAGGTAAGGATGTGTGTACTGCATTCTGTATGCAATGAGAGCTTTGGGTTTTGTTTCTCTAGCTGCCCGGTGGAGAACAGGTGGAGGCTACTGCAATAACCCAGGAAAGTGATTATGATAGCCTGGACTAGGCGGGTGGTCATAAACACAAGTGGACATATAAGAAAGGTAATTTTTTTTAATAGTACAAAACTGATTTTCAAACATGATGTACTAAATTTTCTCTTACAGTCATTCTTGTGATTTCATAAATGACTACAAGTTATTAATGTAATTCTAGAACAAGAGTTTCCAAAGTGGGAGCTTGGGGGTCAAAATATAGCCTACAGACACATTTTATTTTGCCCATGAAGTTTTGTTTTGTTTTTAAATTTGTGTTAATTTGATATCTAAAAATCAGGATTTCCAATTTCTTTTGGAAATCATTAGATCTGGCAAACAACAAAAAGCAATTGGCTGGACAGCTTTCTGGTACCCAAGTCCCCACACCCAGCACCTTTTACTCATTTACACCACCTGCTGGAAAGATATTCGTGTTTTCTACTCCACTAGTCAGTCTGGTGCCATTTAAGGATGCCACAAGCTCCTGCTCACATAAAAGTATCTCAGTTTGGACCGTGAAATAGAGAGGCAGGTTCATCTCATCTCACCTTCACACAATTTTGATCAACAGCTGCTTTTAAGCTTTATGAGGCCTGCCATCACCAGTAATAGGCACCCAAAACCAGAAAGTCCAAGCAGAGGGACAATGCCATCTGAGACAAACAAACTAGAAGGAAAAAAGGACACCACCTGTGGGTCTCAGCACTGCCTGTTCCTACTGCTCAGAGCCCCTCATTCTGCACACCAGGGAACAACACAAGTACTGTGAGAATGTAAACTCCCGAAAGGGCAGGGACCGGCCCCTCATCCATCACAGTGCCCAGCACCCAGCAGGCACTCCAAGACAGGTAACTGGCACCCAAGAGGAACGTGGCACTTGGTCATCTATGACACAGCTGGAAGGAATTATTCTCAATCTGACAATTTTCCATTCCATTAGAAAAAGACATCTCTAATTCAAGAGATGCAGATATGTCCGTCATTTATAACAAAGGTGAGTCCCAAGGTGGGGGGGGGGTGTTTGGGCGGCTACTGTTTCACATCTGTTTTGTTTCAGTCCTCCGAACCTTCTGAGGCTCTACCTCTTCCGCCTCATTTTCCCCCCACCGTCACCCCCACCCCACTTCTACCCAGGCCAGGATAAATAAGACACATCTATCAGAACATTACTTAACATTAATGAATCCATGTTAAGTTTCAAGGATTTTTTCCCCCCCGAAGCTTGGTAAAGTTCGGAAACTAGAAAGTCAACCATAAAGCCACCCCCCCCACCCCCACCCCAAGCCCAATTTGTAATTTTTCTGGGCAACAATTCCTCTTCAGGGCCAGGGCCTTTCCAGCCAGTGCCAGCTTCCACCCGCCTCTCCGCGGACCCCCGCCCCGGCAGCAGGCCCTTGGCCAAGGCAGGCCGCTCCCCTCCGCCCCCTCCGCCCCGGCCTTGTTTGCAGAATGGGGATAACAATAACCTCGGCGGGTTTTTCTCCCGTGGGGTTGGAGGAGCAATGCACGGCGCTTGGCAAACACTCGGCATCCAGCTCGGCTGCTCGTGACAGCATCTTCGTCGTCCTGAAGGAGGTGGGCAGGACCGCGCTGGGCGGACCCGCACTCGGGGAGGGTCGGGGGAGCGGGGCCGGGCGGGCGCGGCTCACCCACCTGCAAGCGGACGTTGAGCATCATGGAAGCCACGATGTAGAGGTAGGGGAAGTTGATACGCAGCCGCCAGGCCAGGTCGAAGAAGATGAGCAGCGTGCGGGTCAGCCCCTTGCAGAAGACCCCATAGGAGCGGGCGGCGGCCGAGCGCGAGAGCCGGACGGCCAGGCCCGACAGAGCCGCCGCCATATAGACCCGCGCCTGCCGCCAGCCCGCCGCGCACCGACCGGCTGCGGACCCTAGCCGCCCGGCGCTCCGAAGCCCGCCCGCCCGCGCTCTAACAGGCGCCGCGTCACCCCTGGGCCTCCGCCCCGGCTGCTGGCCAGTGCTCCGCGCGCTGAGGGAGGCGGCGGCGGCGAGGCCGGCGGGCGGGCGGGCCGGCTGGCGCGGGGAGGAGAGTCCGCGCGTCACCCTAAGGGAAGCGCCGCAAAGCACCGCCTGCTCCCAGCCTCGCCGCCCGGCCTGACGTCACAATGCCCTCGCCAGCGCCTGCGCGCCCGGCCCCGGCCCCGGCCCCGCCCCTAGGTCCTGCCCCCGCCTCCCGTCACATTCTTGCAGGCGAGACGCGCATGCGTCAGCGGGTGGCTTAGGGAGGGTGGCTGATACGCTGTATACGGCCGCCCCCTAGTGGTAAGCAAGGAGAAAAAAACAAGGAAGATGAAGAGTGAGTTGGAATTGGAGAGTCGGACAACACTGAATGCACTTAACGCCGTTGCCCTGTACACTTAAAAATTATTAGAATAGTAAATTTTATGTTATGTATGTCTTACTGCAATTATAAAAAGCAACGAAGGGAGGCTTCTTGGGGCCAACGGACAAAACATTCTCCCCGTGTAGATTTGTTGTGGTCCCCAAACATATAAAGTTTAGTCTTTTAATAATTATGATATTAATTAAAGCTCCTGATGTGAAAAGTAAAAATATTGAAACTTCCAAAACTTGTGCTTTTCTGGGTTTTTTTGGGGGGGTTTCAAAAGTAAGGTTTTTACATTCCTACTTAAGCATATAGGTTTCTGTTAGATTTACATAGGGAGAAGGTAGATGCCTTCTTTTTAGTTTCAGACAAAGTATTTCATGTTATTACTTCTGCCCACCAACGAGAAAGTCTGGGAATTTGGTCTAGGTGGGACAAAATAATTTCATCGATGAAATGAAAAGCAAGTCTTAAGTCCTTTAAGAAAGCAAGAATAGAAATCAACAGTGTGAAAATGGATTTAAGTGTAAAATCTTTTGCCCCAAAATGGATTTGAAATAATAATCATTTTTAAAAGTCATTTTAAAATTCTCTACCCCTAAATGAATTCACATTCAGAATTATTTTTTTTAATCTTCATTTTATCTATAATTCAAAGAAAATCACAGAGGACATTTTATGGTATTGTCATTATGGCTATTATTTAGCATTATCATTTTTCTTTAAGTACCTACTGTATAAAAAGAATTGTACTCTTTTGATGCTCAGTCATCCTATATTGGCATGTATTTCAAGCCAAGACTATTTAAAATAGATATTTAATGGGGTTTGGCTTTTGGCTAGTTTTAATATTATTAAAACAATATTTTTCAAAGTATTTGCACAAACTATTAGTTTCTCTTACTTTTGCAGCATTATATATTGCCATATTTATCAACATTGAAAAGTTTACTTCCCTTTTTTTGTAAGCGATTTTTTCCTTTCAGTGCACAATGGATGCTATCTTTGAAGACTGCACAACACATGCTGCTGAATTATCATGGTTGTTCGAGTTATCCTTCCCAAAAGTAAAATGAACACTTCTTTATATAGTATTTAATAACATAATTTAAACATTTTAAAGGATAATCTCCAATGGAAAATTTGCCAAAAGACACAAAATCAATCAGACAATGTGTGAACAGGTTCGGAAATTAGCTACATTTATTCTTAGGCTTGTTAAGATTTTCACTGGTAGAGAATTGGCAGCCCTGTTTTATTAGAATTATGCAGAAAGACCAGATGGGCTTTGGCTCATCTGTGAGATTTATATATATATCTGCTCCCTGGTTACTCATTTCTTTGTTTCTAAATGCCACTGAGGCAATGAGGCTTTTTTTTTTAAGATTTTTATTGGGGAATTGGGGGGATAGGAACAGCGGTGGGGAATTGGGAGAAGAGGAATAGACAACTTGCTGTCGTTTTGTTCTTCAGTCTCGTTGTGGAGGACGTTGCTTCACTGGCCCAAGTTGGCACCATCATTGCGCTCTTCCCGGGCAAGGCAGATCAGTCGCCGGCTTCTGGACGGCCGCTCACTGCGGCTGCTGGCCGCTCACGCTGGCTGCTGGCTACACACGGTAGCCCATGGCAACCCATCCGCCGTCGCCGGCGACTCACGGCAGCCCAGCTCCAGGTTGAGCTGTTGTTCAGCATCTTAGCTGTGGAGGACAGTGTCACTGGCCCTCATATGTGGGGTCCGAACCGGGGCCCTCTGGCGTCCCCCAGTTCTTAACCATTGCGCCACTCGGTTGGCCCAATGAGGCATTTTTAACAAGGCTCAGACCTTTCAGGAATGAGGTTTTGAGCAAAGAAACTAACTGTGATGCTGGCCACAGGTAAGAGGATGTTAGAACGGGTAGTGAAAAGGTGAAGTGATACATGTCAGCTACAGGCTTGTGACTGTGGAAACGAGGACTCTAGATCGTGTCTACCTGCATTTCCTCGCTTGCTGTGTCATATTATTATTTTAAAATGTTTACCTCTCCATCCTCTTCCTTTTCCTCATTATTGTATGTAAAGTGAATTGATGCTTGCTACACTTCTCTTTGGTCCATTGGTTGCAAAACATTGAGATGGGACTGAAAGAAGAGGCCCTGGACTGGGAGCTATGGTTGTGCCTGGAGCTGGTTCTGTTTCTCTCCTGAGGAGAGGGTGCATGTGCTCCTGGTTCAGTGTGAGATTATGATGGTTACATTATGATGAGTGGGAATATTTAAAAATATTAAATGTGTGGAAATGTATGCATGTGAGTACCAGGCAGCCAGACGAAACATGGTGGGTGTGGCAGGACCTGATCACTGTCCTCTAGGACCCACTCTTCTCTTCCTTATGGGGTAATATAATTTTAGCAGTGTCTACATTTCCCGACCTGCACTGCAGCTTGATGTGGTCATGTGACTAAGTGCCAGCCAATGGGATATCAAGAAGTGTGGTGGCTTCTTGAAGAGACATCATCAAGAATCATCCTGGGCGCACACGCTTCTCTTTCTCCATCCTGTGCTTGGAACTTAGATGTGCTGCTGAAACTCCATCTTGGTACATGAGGAAGGAGCTGGGCCCTGAGACTTCATGGATAAGAGGAACATATTGGTCTGAATTACCTCTGGATTTTTACATGAGAGTAATAAACTCAGATCTTGTTTAAGCTCTTGTCACTTTAGGTCACTGTCATTTGCACTGAACCTAATCCTAATGAATACAGTAGATATTTTTGGTTTTGCCTGCCCAGCCACAACTTCCCATTCTTTTGGGGGGGTCTACCTCTACCCCATTCCTTGTGTTTCTAGTGGGCTGTGAGTCACTGGGTCCCTCCCTTTCTCCCCAACAAGATGGACAGGTAACAAACCATAGCAACCAGAACACCCCCTCCCTTGCCAGGAAGGGGAACCTGAGTAGAGTGGCACCCTCAGACAGGTGGGTCTAAGTTATTGTGATGTCAGTGTCCCAAAAAGAAGATTCTGAGGGCCCCAGGGTGGTTCTGGATCCTGTCCTTTCTGAGTCCTAGTTACTTGACTTTTCCATTGATTCTATGAACTCACCAGTGTTTTTTCCATTAATATCTCTTCCTTTTTTTCCTTAACCCATAGTAGCTTTCTGTCCCCTGCAACCCAAGAACCACAGCTGATTACATTTTTCCACCCTGCCCTTGGAGCCACTCGTAATTCTGACAGGCTGGCTATAAATTCCAGGGCTCCCACAACCCCTGTTCAGGTTTGATAATTCACTAGAATGACTCACAGAACTCAGGAAACCACTATAACTTGTGATTACTCGTTTATTACAAAGGATACAAGTGAACTGCCAGATGAAGAGCCCAATAGGGTAGAATGGAATATTTTCAGCTGTAAGAAGGAAGGAAATCCCACCATTTGTGGCAACATGAATTAACCTAGAGGATTAACTATGCTTAGTGAACAAAGCCAGATGCAGAAAGACAAATACGACATGAGATTGCTTCTATGAGGAATGTAAAATAGTCAAACTCATAAAAGTAGAAAGTGTTTGCCAGGGACTGGAGGGAGGGGGAAACAGGGGCACTAGTCAAAGGGTACAAAGTTATACAAAACGAATAAATCCTAGAGATCTATGTACTTACAACATAGTACCTATAATTAACAATACTGTATTGTATACTTAAAAATTTGTTAAGAGCGCAGGTCTTGCGTTAAGTGTTCTTATGACAAAATAAAAACTAAAGGAGGCAGGAGGAAACTTTTTGGAGGTGATGGATATGTTTATGGCATAGATTGTGGTGATAGTTTCAGGAGTGTATGCTTATCTCCAAACTCATCTTATGACATTAAATATGTGTAGCTTTTTGTATGTCAATCATACTTCAATAAACTGTTTCTTTTTTTAAAATGTTGAATAGGACAAAGTCGAAGGTTAGGGGAGGCCCAGAGCTTCCAAGCCCTCTCCTCATGGAATCTGGGTATGCTACCCTCCCAGGACATATGTTCACCAACCAGGAAGTTCCTCCAGCCTCATTGTTTCAGGGTTTTCATTACACAGGCACAATTGATTAAGTCACTGGTCACATGATTGAGCTCAGTCTCCATTCCCTCTCCCCTCTCTGGAGGTTGGGGAGTAGAGCTAAAGGTTCCAACCCTCTAATGCTTGATTGGTTTATCTGGTGCCCAGCCCCACCCTGAAGCTATCTAAGTGCCAGCCATGAATCATCTCATTAGCATAAACTCAGGTATGGTTGAAAAGATCTTCTTATGAGTCAGAAAAGACACTCCTATGGTTCAGGAAATTCCAAGGGTATTAGGGACTCTGTGCCAGGAACCAGGAACAAAGACCAAAGATATTTTTTATTATACCACACTTCCTCACTTGAGAATCTGGCGGTTTAGGCTGTCTATTGGCTGGGCCCTCAGTTGGGACTGTCATTCCAAGCACCTGTACATGGTCTTTTCATGTGGCCTGGACTTCCTCACAGTTGGGCGACTAGGTTCCAAAAGCAAGCTTCCAGGAGATCCCAGGCAGACCCCTGGCAATCCTCCTGCCGTAGACATAGTTCTGCCCAGCTTCAAGGGAAGGGAGCATAGATCTCATTTTTCAGTGGGAGGAGTGTCAATATCACTTTGCAGGAAGGGTATACAGGATAGGAGAACTCGTTATGGCCAACTTGGAAAATACAGTTTGTCACAACTATGGAAACCCAACCAATGCCTGTCTTTTTGGACCCAGGCCAAATATCCTGTCTTCCTGCAGATTTGCCCTCACTTCTATCTTCC